CATGGACAGCCCGTTGTCCAAGTGCGAATCTGCGACCAATTACCACTGTTCGTTAGTTTTATTCACTCTGTCACTTGTTGGCTTAAAATTTGTCATTTCCTTTGTAGTGTTATTAATGGGCCGCAATTTGAAAAAATTGTACACCTGTAAAGTGGCACTGTTGTCGGTCTATTTTGTTGGTCTGTCTGCCCTTCTTTAATCTCGAGAACAAAGTTAGATAGATGAAATACGAAACCAGGCGTAGAGAGATTAGTGACTGAAAGTCCGGATATACGAACCTTCGAACCTAACCGAAAGTTATGTTAATTCAATTGAAAATTTTCTCCGAAAGGATAGAGGACTGGCACTCTATTGCTAACAGGAAAAACTGACGTACAGTACAGGTGCAAGACACTATTAATTCCTGGTAAAGAGTAATTTATCATTAATGTACAAGAGATGTAATTCTTAGGTTACTCAAATACAGTGGAACCTCGCTTAACGAGTATAATTTGTTCCAGAATCTTCCCATATAAATTAACGTAAAATACGATTATACGTTCCATGCCGAAGAAAATACTCAAATATTTAATGTATAACGTTTATGCAATGACAATTATACAATATATATTGTTAAGGAGCTTGAATCATCATCATCTTTTTTTCTAGCACGGAATAAAGCAAACTAGAATGCGTACCGGATTTGCTGAAAACAAAAATAAAAATTACAGATAATATGTCTGATAAACAGTCAAAAGATATGACAAATTCTTGGGCTATGTAAAGGCTATAATTAAATATTAGAGGTTGCAACCGAAGTTTTTATCTTTAATACGTGAACGTCGAACGTTGAGCTCCGCCATCTTGTAAGCCTAGAAACTTGACAATGGCGTTAGGAACGTCATTGAAATCATGCTCGACATTCCAATTACTTGATATGCGAGGTGCTCGTTAAGCGAGGTACCACTGTATCATGAATATCATGAACTAACAAATTAACTTATACATTAATTAACTTTTTATGCATGGATTTCAATCGGTTAAAATTTATTTATCTTCTATTTAACGTTGTCTTTAACCTCAGAAAATTTCGTAATTCTATACCGTAGAGAAATGTTTGTTTTGGACCATTTTTCTGGTTCCCTCCTATATAAATAATGCATATGACCAAAATTTTCGTGACATGTTTGAGTATTTGCATTAGCTAGTCTTCTAGAAACCAGACTTTTCCTGAGGCGTTCACGTCAACTTCCTGCGAAAGTCGACCTAAAACTGTTCTCAGGGTCAAACATTCGTAAACACTAGACTGCAAGTGTCTCGTAGCGGTTTGCGCTTGGTACTTTATTAAAATTCTAATAATTGCCGTACTGTAGCCGAGTGCATAAAATCACCAAACTCTGGTAGTTAGTCGTGGGTTCGGGCTGGCCACGTGGAGTTTACCGTGTTTTCTTCAAGTTAGTAACACCTAAATAGGGTCCAGCTTCCCATAAAAGTTTTTCAGGGATGCATTCCTCTTTGGCAGATCGCTCACGTTTCGTGTTGCCATAGCCAAATAAACCAAACTAATTTTAACCAGCGATTATTTATTGCGACACGGCCACAATGCCGGGCTGCAAGTTTTCGTCACAATGTTCTCAATTATTTTAATGGTGTTTTGCCCCTGTATATCATACTTTTCCTTTAACAGTAGAATCGTGCCGGAAATTTATCTCATCGGTGCGCAAACGTGAAAAATTCAATTTATTTAACAATAAAAAATATAAGGCTTTTCTTCAACAAATACTAGGTATCAGTAAAATAGTGAAATGAAATTATATTACTGTATTTATAAAAATATAGTAAATGTACAGACAAAGGATGTATTAGTACCTAATACAGACAGAGGATAACAGGGTGAGACTACGCAGAAGCAAATTTAGTGGCGAGCGATATAGTTGTCCCAAAGGAGAACAATGCACAAGCGAGAAGCGAGAGCGAAAATCTGGTTCTCGCGCATATCTGACCGGGTTTGATATTTATCGCGTCTCGCCTCTTTTCGCCACATATCCTCGCTCGCTCGGAAAATTCACTCGCTCGCATGTGCATAGTCGCACTTGTACAGCTTGTAAATTACAATATAGATCCGAACATAGAAGCGATCGTGAGCTTCTTTGCAAGAGATTACTTCACATGATGTAAAGTTTTTTTAAAAGTATTTCTCATTAAATAAATATTTATACCCATATGAATAAATAAAACCATTGTTTCGTAAAATTATGTTTTACTCAGACCACTGATAAGGCAGAAACATAAGCGCAAATCCCAGAAAAAAATTTACTTTACATTGACGATTAAAAAAACGTCTAGTACACGGGTTCCCAACCTGTGGGTCACGACCCAGAAGGGGGTCGCGACGGGCTTTCTGTGGGGTCGCCAACTTATACAGTTAACTAAAAAAAAATGTTCACTATAATGCAATTTTTATTTTTAATGGTGTCTTGAAGTTTAAATAATTTGATATACAGTCGATCCCCCTATAACAGGGGTTCCTATAGTTCGGATTCCTATATGACGGCGAAGTAATTGCGACGGTGTCCGTACAAACATGGTAAAAAAAACTCCTATAATTCGGTAAAACGTCATCGGGCAGCCAAACTACTTTCCGCCGTCCAGCGCCGCGCTATGGAGAGTTTAGGCGGGTAAATTGAGTTTACTATCGTCTGTACAGTATTATATATAAATTAGGTACTGTATATATAATTATATATTAACTTAATTTATTGTAACTTTATTATAATTATATATATACTTTCCGCCGTCCAGCGCCACGCTACGGAGAGTTTAGGCGAGTAAGTTGAGTTTACTATCGTCTGTACAGTATGTAAATTAGGTACCGTAAGTCTAATACAGCACTAATTTTATACATTTCTTGTGAAAGAAACATTTCTTATTCAACGGCCATAAAATTATTTATATTAATGATGTCTCCAAAGTTCAACAAAGTTTTCGCAGAAAAATAATTTATCAGAAAACGCGGGCGCCGTTTGGTGCGCTAATCCGCGACGAAAACAAGCTTAAGCAATGGCGATGTCAAACGGTGCACACTCGGTAAGTAATCCTACAATTTTTTGTTTATAGCATAGTTTACACGGATTATTCCCAAAAAATATACGTATTTTGGAAATGTTGAGTCGAATTAGTCTAGGAATCGATTAATTTTATGGAAGAAAACCTTTCAAACAGCCGTAGTCCGTAAACTTTACACGTGTCGGGCTGTGATTGGCAAGGTCTCCTAAAACATCAATTTCATTAAAAACGGAACGTATCTACCGTGTTATGGGGGGGTCGACTGCATTTTTTAAAAATTAAAATAAATGTAATCTAGGTACGCTATTCCGTCACAGTTGGTTGAATCATGTGTTGAGAGTTTGAGAGGAATAAATTAAATGTTGAGAATGACATGAGGTTGGCGTCAACAAAAACTCACCCGCGACTTTTAAGGCTGGCTAATAACATACAATTTCAACAATCGCATTAAATCATTAGACATAATTTAAAATAAAATTATAGTAAAAAACTAATTTCGTTGTTTTTTAATTACCTTATTAAAAATGTCTTTTTCAATAGTATCGGGGTCGCGGGTCACTTGGCTTTTATAAAAAGGGGTCGCCACCCGAAAAAGGTTGGGAACCGTTGGTCTAGTATCTATTCAGGGACAAAATTTTACACAAGATGGGTGTGTGGTCGGAAATAAAAATAGTTTGTGCACCACTAATTTATCTTACTCCTCCCGGGGGAAAATTTTTGAATTGAAATAATGTGACTGCTAGTTTTTATCGGAAGTTCTTATATGTTAATTAATCTGGGCCTCCTGCAGCTAAGCTTTCCATATCTTCTGATCTCAGCTTTCATCTATGTAACTCCTTTCTTGATATTAAGGAAAAACAGACAGACAACATTTAGGTGTGTCATGAACTGTAATTTCTGCAGTTTTTTTCAAATTGCAGCTCAATAACGAATAAAATTCTGATCATTAAGTCCGACCGTACTTGAGATATGACACACGACCCCACAATCTCTCAACCCCTTTATCTTTATCCACCAAAATTTAATAACATCAATTCCCCTAATACACAAGCCTACCTACAAACTTTCAGAAATGTTCGACAAAAGCACAGAAGTTATTCATTTTCAAAGTGGATGAACGAAATCGTGCTCCACACATACACGCACTAACATTCATACACACAGAAAAACTTCCAATAGTTCATATTTTGGCGTTGATAAGGTTTGAATTTATTATGTAAAATTAGTCAATTAAGTTACAGCATCTCTTCTGCTTACAAATGAAAAATACCATTTCTTCTCCAGATTACAATTTTTTGCTTTATTAAGAATAATTTGAGAACAAATACAGCACACTACGATGTTCTATTTTTATTGAGAAAATAATTTGGGAATAGTGTATACAATACTTTTAAGAAAATTATTTTCTTGTGCTTTATTTAATTCTAAATTATACTTGTATTTCTCTTATAGTTATTGAGTATATATTATAAGCCATGTTACGGTACTTAATTACTATCAGGCCTACACGTTGCGATGGATGAACTACGTCTTGATTCACACTGTGCATAAAAAACAGCATCTGAAAATTCTCACAATGGATTTAAGCCGTTATGGGGAGAAAGAGAACAACTGAATCCATATCCCTCCTAATAAATTTGGTACTGTAAATTGGATTGAATTGATGGAATAAGGCAATGCAACACACGAGTAATCTGCCAACAAAGGATGCTTTCCGAGAGGACTTCTGTATAGGAAATTGTGCCTTATTTAGATGTTATAAACGTAAGGAAGATCATCAAAACTATTCGCGAGTAGCCGGTGGGTCAGGCACGAACCCACGACCAACGTTTAGTAGTGTTATCTGTTCGTTCACTAGTAAAATTACTTAATTATATTAATTAACTTACGTATTTTAAGTCATGGTTTTTTCTGAACGAAGTGAAATTTGTCAATTGAAAATGAAAATATATAAATTATATTCTAAATTATATTTATTGCAATTTTTATTGTAAGAAAATAAATATGTATCCAATTACAAATCAGTCTTTTAAGAACAGAAGCTTGAAAATAATAAACTGCTTTACTTCTTCATATATTAAGGAGTACAAAGGTTATCTAAAAATATATATGTACACATTTAAATACATAAATTAGTTTGAAAAACTTTTAAAAAGTAAAATTATAAATTAAATTTAAAAATTGTACCTTAAGGAAGCTGAAATCTTCTGATAAAATCCTCGAATGATACAGAATCATCATCATCATCATCGTACTAAAATACGAATTTAAATATTCAACATCATATCTTAAATGATTAATTAATGTAAGTGTTTGCAATTACTTACCACAACAAAATTTCTGGCGTAATGGGTTTGGTTGTGAACCGTTAATTTATCTAAAACATCCTTCCACCAAGATTTAACACGGTCTCTCACGTCTTCTAAAAGATTCTTAGTTTTATCTTCGAGTTCTACTCCGAGTTTCTTCAATTTATCTAAGTTTTTCTTAACCTAATTAATATATTTGAAACTTATTTAATATACTAAACATAAAATTTTAAAATACTTTTATTTAAAAAAACCAGAAAAAGAAGTTAAAGAATGGTTTAAAAATTTAAATTAATGCACGCAACCAATCACCGTAAAGACAATCATACTGTTCAACCAATGGCAGTGAAGATAAGGAAAAACGGAGTATTTTGTAAGTAAAATTTGAATTTTTATTAAGAAAAAAAAAATATTAGTTTATATACCTCATCGATTAAGTCTTGGCTGACGTTTTTTCCACGTTGCAAAGCATCCTTAATGTCTTGCAAAACGTGATTCAATGCATCCTTTATTTTATTTCCAAGTTCAGTTTTCATATCTTCGTGAATTCTAGTTTGTAATAATATTGAATATATTAATTATATATTTAATATTTAATACACAAAGGTGCTACAAAGTCTGTTAACCCGAGATCTAGTTTATGACTGTGTTAAGCTATTTCACATCTGCTTTTTTAACCGGTCTTAATATAAACCAAGGCTCCTATATATAAATTTATTTACGACATATTTTAATGATAAAAAGGTACTTACTCCTCGGCATATGAAGGATAGTCACCATCAGAAACGACGAAACCTTTATTACAAACCAAAAAACAATGATTATAGCTGTATATTTAAAATGATGCAAATATATCATTGCTTACCTTCTTCCACATAAGCATATGCCAAGCCGAATAACAGGATATAAGCCAAAAATTTCATTTTGGAAAGAATTTCTTATACTAGAATTAAGAAATTATTAAATTATCCATATACAGAGTACATTTAAACTCTACATTTGCACTCTAACAAGTTTTATAAACTAATACATTAGATTTTTGATAAAGCAATATCAGAATATATCTTGTCAGTAATATTATTAACAATGTATACTAAGATAAATAATGAAATGTTAACAATTGTGTTTAATAAGCATGATTAAAAATTAACTAAAAAAATTTAACATTTTAGATATTTAGACAAGATAAACCAATGGAAAAATTAACTCAACTTTAGTTCTTTACTATTAAATAGTTTAAAATCCAAGACAATTTAGCCATTTATCAAGCTGTCTGTGTATTAAAATTAGAAGAAAAAAACAAAATCAACAAAAGCTATCTTTAATTTTAGAAGACTTAAAAATTGATAAAGTATTCAG